GCCCTCCTAAAACGCCTCATTTAAACACGCCCCCACATGTCTACATCACGATGTGGGAAGATTTGCATAACACTCGCCAAATGTTCACGCAAAGAAAGAAGGCGTAACTTTTATTCTCGCTGTAGTATTGCTGTTGCCGCCGCCGCCATCTCGTGAAGACGCTGTGTGTTTCGTTGTGAAAGCGAAACTACTTGGTTTGGCCTTCCAAAAGAGGACACAACTAGAAATCAGTGGTTAAGTTGTATTTACAACACTGTTCCAGAACAGTTCAACCCAAATATTCAGATGTGTGCAAAGCATTTTATGGAGGACGAGGGCTGTTCCCTGGGAGAGTAGCCTACAATGCCTTGAACCTTAAACCACATAAACACATTTCATTACACCAAATACACAAAATAATGTTCTTTTTTAGCAATGTCATATGACCCCTTTAAGACAATTTTATTTAGATTTTATTTAGGACTATGAAAGTTGTGCGCGCAATAAAAAAAAAATTATTCTGCCCGTCTGAGCGCCATGGCTTAATTTCTCAAGCGACTTCTCATTTCTCAAAGCTAATGAACTTGGGTTTGGTGTATGACAAAGACCTGGATGATTTAAGGAATTGCTATTGGTATAAGTAGTGGATAAAACTGTATTCTGATGTATTTGTGGAGGTCTACAGTATCTTTACTGTTGAACCGTTGGATCGTAGCTCCCACAACTTAAAGGGATAGTTCACCCAAAAATGAAAATTTTGTCATCATTTACTCACCCTCATGTTGTTCCAAACCTGTGTAAGTTTCTATATGATGAAAACAAAAGATAATATTTTGAAGAAATTTGAAGAACCAAACTTCCATAGTATTTCTTTCCTTACTATAGAAGTCAATGGGGACCATCAACTGTTTGATTACCAGCATTCTTCAAAATATCTTCTTTTATGTTCAACATAAGAAAGAAACTCGTACAGGTTTGGAACGACATGAGGGTGAGTAAATAATGACAAAATTTTCATTTTTAGGTGAAATATGCCTTTAAAAATACAACTGTGGACCAACAGTTAAGATAATGTAGACCTGCACAAATACATCACAATTCAACTTTAACCAGTAACAATTTCTTGAATCACCCAGGTCATAGTCATAAACCAAACCCCAGTTCATTAGCATTGAGAAATAAGTAATCAATGTGTTGCTCCCACTGATCCTCCTCTCACGGCTCCAGCACAACAAACTCACTGAGCAGCTGGGATATCCATGAGGATTTTCTCCAGCGAATATGCTGAATTTCACTAATGGAGTATGTTTGTAATAGGATAATCCATCTTATCCTCTGACGTTAAGGAATATAAATAAATAAAAAGCACATGCTTATGCAGAAATCGCTGGGTGTTCACACTTGGGGCTCTGCAGATTCAGTTCCTCTGCTCAGTTCTTTATTTTTTAGGCACACTCTCATGCCTGTTGATTGAGCTTGTTGTTGTATCATGGGACATGTGTGTGACGGTTGCTCATCCCTATGGAGACGCAGCTTTTGTTTCTGAGTCATTTTAGTGCTGGTCTGTTAGTCGTACGACTAAAAGAGCCAAACAGAAGCTCAGAGAGCAAGTGAGAAGGAGAGCTTTTTACAGTCTAAATCAAATTACAATGACACACCAACTAAAAATATTTTGGGAAGTTACAGTAATATTCAGTAAAAGTTATTTTGGGTCAAAAACATGTTGTCCTGTGATTGTGATCAAGGGTTGTTATAATTGACATAAACCTGAATTTTTAAAAATATTTTTTAACAACAACTAAATCTTAAATAAAAATTAGAAATGTTGCTTTGGCAACTACCTGAAATAAAATAAGTATTTAAATTTAAAGACTAAAACTGCTAAAACTAAAATAGTTATAAATTGAAGCGAAATATAAATATTTCAAACAAAAACTAATACAAATGACAAAAGCACATAACAAAATTGCAAACTTGTACAAAATGATAAACTAAAATTAAAAACTGAAAATCAAAAATTAAAGCCAATTCAAAATATTAATAAATACTACAATAATAAGTAAGTAATATTAAAATAACACTGATGTGATCCAAAATTTCCAGTTCAGGCCATTTCCTGATCCTATGGAAGCCTTTTTTGCCTTTTTAAAAACAAATAAAATAAAAGCTGTGACTTTATTTCTTGGAATTGCAGCTTTATACACAATGTGACTAACACATTTTTTTTATTTATTTATATTTTTTAATCTAGGTGGAAACTGGCTTCCATAGTATCCTTTTGGATTATTCCTGTGTACAGGTATGAGCATTTTTCAATTTTTCAAACTAAAACATTGCTTTTCTGTACTGGAAATACTGAAGATACACACTCTTGTTGACCATATGTAGAGCACTTCCTTCTGAGAAAGTATGTTATGACCACTAGACATATAAAAGACACATAGTTATAGCAACAATAGCACTCAAACCAACAACACACCTGACAAGAAGGCCACTTTTTCCTTTAGAATGGGCAAAACTTCCATTGCCTTCATCTCTTCATTCCTACGAAATCCTGAAAAACAAAATGACAGAACAGAATTTAGAATCCATGCAAGCATATCATCATCAGAGCCTTGGTCTAGCGGTTAGCATACTGTGCATGCTCGGTTTTCTTGAGCTATCGTGCTCAAATGGGAAATTTGAGTTTGCATCTGGTGCATTTAAGGCCCATGAATATCAATTTCACATTCTCCTTTTCAGACTCTTTTACATGTATTTAACTGAATGTAAAGACAGTCCAGAAACATCATCATTTGTTCTTCTGTTCTTGGCATGAGCAGATACCACCTCGAGCGCTGGACCTCGTTCAAGCGCTTTGCATGAGATCAGCAGCAACCTGGATGAAGCATCACTTCTGTTCATTTGTTTTTATGATTCACAGGTTTGAGTTGAATAGGTTTGGCGAGTCTGTGCCAAAGTTGAGTTAGTCATGTATAGCCAGCAGACTGACTTTGGTCTCTCAGAGCACGAAAACATAACCTTGCTTGGATTACATAATTTACCTTTTTCCTCTCATTTCTTGCCTGGATTATCTGAAAGAAATCATGTAAATAACTTAAGAAATAATACGGTATTAGTTCATGATCTACAAGTATCTATTTCAGAGCAGGACAAATGCTGGAAGAATCGGGTAAGGCACAATACTTGCTAGTAAAGCATTACGGACATGGATGGTTCAGTTGAGACATGCTGTCTTTAATTCCACTCCTACTATCCCTCCATCCCAGGGCTGCTAATTAAGCATGAAATATGGTTGAAGGAGCCGATCCCTCCTACACAGACACACACAGCTGAGATATTATAGAGATGATGTCTTTTATCCATTTTCCTGCAATGCTTCCCTGTGGTGTCTCAGCGCCACTCACTGTACAAATTAACACCTTTCTTTTTCCCTCCCCTTCTCTTTTTTTCCATGCATCACACTGGAAGGTTTGTTTTTCCACCACTGCTACTGTGCACATCAGACCACGTGATCTAATGAAAACATGGACGCTTCTGCAGATTATTTGCAGCAATTTACAGAAATATCTCATCCAAAAATTTACAAGACATCAAATCATTCACCCTTATGTCTTTCGAAACCTGTATGACTTTCCTCTGTGGATGACAGGAGTTATTTACATTAGAATGAGGTAGAAATCTGATAAATTTTCAATAAAGATTTTTTAACCCTAATCATATGGCTTCAAAAGTAATAGAACACAAAGCATGAGTTGCTACCGGACGGAAGGGCTGAGTTTCAGTAATAGTACGGTTTTCTCTAAACCCCGCTGAGCACCTGAGAAGACAGGGGTTTAGGTTCTCTTCCGTATCTCGGTATCTGTTTGCATGCATGAGTGTGTGAGGAAGAAAGCCCACACTCTTCCCTCAGGGTCTGAGAGAGACAGGCCGCGGTACGGTAGGGCAAATTAGGTTACAGGGTGAAGCACATTTAATAACGGTTCACAATATGACTCCAATGACTGCAGCGACAGTCATCTAGACGCAGATGCGCTTCTCTTGTAGTCCATAGAAACAAAAATACACACACACACACACACACACACAAGCTAAATGAAAACATTTTATACTTGTATCATATATTCATATTATAACCTACATTCTAAAATCCTAAAATATTTTGTACCAAAGAATAAATTGAATATGTAATTTAATAATAGTAATAATAATAATAATAATACATTCTATTTATACAAAATTCTAAAACTCTATACGAACATTATTTTTAGGATAAAAATATTTTTTACTATAATAATAATAATAATAATAAACTATTATTATTATTTTATTTTATATATTTTGTTATTATAATAAGCTTATTATTTTAGTGAATAAAATTATTACAGTTTTTTTTTTTTTAAATGAGAACACTCCTGGATGTCTGTCAGATTTAAACAGCTTCCAGATTAAACTACAGCTAACACACACAAGGTTACACAACCCGTGTAAAACTAATCATTCTAGGTTTAAACTGGGGTTTCCGTAGGCTAACAATTACATTTATCGTATAGATTTGACATTAATTACTCATTTCCTCACCAATGACAGAAGACAAAGAAATGACCTCCATCTCACATCTGAAGTGCCTCATGCAGGAGATGAGCGTTCCCAACATATTATCTCACCAAAATGAATCCCATTTCACAGCTGTGCCGCTGTCCTTCAAGCTATGCATGCAGGGTAACTGGATATTTCACTAACGTCTAAAATCCATCATTTCAGCATCCAAACCACAGAAATACAACAAACCACTTCAACAAATAGAGACATTACGCTTGGAGAAAATCAGACAGCTATTCTTTCCCCAGAGCTGGAAGAGCTCTAAATGTGGTTGGGAATTCACATTCTGTGGAAAAAGAACTAAGGAATCTGAGGGAAAAAATAACATGAGCAGTTTTTTAGAAGAGAAACTTCAAAAGGACACTCACTGTGGTACCAACGATCTGTTCTTTAGTGACAGGAAGGTGAATCGTGGGTGAGTTTTAAGGTCAAAACAAACGACTAAAAAGAAGGAAGAACGCACACAGCCATGGAATCAATCTGTATCAGCGCATCAGTAGGTTCCTCCAAGCCTAACCTTTTTCTCTCTCACAGATGATTATTTTTCAGGGCTTATCAGGTATCAGAAGGGAACAGACAACAAAACATGTCTGAAAATATAGCCTAGCCTCACTGTTTCCAGGTAATAGGTTCTTGATCTTCCCGATATTGAAGAAGTAATGACCCGAGATAACAACAGTAACTTCAGACAATCTGAAACCGGCATTGCTTCACATACACCGGCAACAGTTTTCTCTACATCTAAACAGCAGAGCACTGGATTTTTGGTAGATGGCAGCAGATTGGCCACACGGACCAACACTACAGTGACGAGATGATGCAGAGAGAAGAAGTGAACAAGAGAGACAATGTAATGAATGTAAATAGCAGATAGGAAACAGAGTTATTAAATAAGAAGAGATTTTTGAACAAGAGAGAGAAAGAATGAGAGAGAGAAAGACCAAGAAAGAGTGAGCAAGCAACAAAGACACTCATATATGACTTGTAAAGTATTTAGATATCAAGGCAAGGCAAAGTAGTATTTATTAAACTGCTTATAATTATATATATTATATATATATATAATTATTAAATTAATCATTATTAAATTGTTAAAAATAAATAATTATATATTTAATTATTTTATTATAATTGTTTTTTTTTACTCTTACCGTTTTAGACTATCGTTTAAAGTTAGAGGTCAGTTAAGATTATTTTTTTAAATGAGGTTTTATTCAGAAAGGATGGAATTTAGTACTTTGTTATAATATTAATATTAATAATAATAATAATAATAAATGTTTCTTGCACACCAAATCAGCATATTAGAATAATTTCTGAAAGAAGACTGCTGAAAATTCAGCTTTGCCATCACAGGAATAAATTACATTTAAAAAAAAAACTATTAAAACAGAAAATGGTTATGTTAAATTAATATTTCACAGCATTACAGTTTTTATTGTATTTTTGACCAAAAACACAAAATCGACCCCAAAAAGTAAAGCAAATAATTATCTTCTACTGTTTATTATGACAATGAGAATTTGTGTCAAATATGCCTGATTGCATGAAAATGTCAAAATGCAAAATTACAGCTTTATTTTAAAACGCAATTTCTTACAACTCTTACAATTTCTTATTTTAACTCTGGAGTGAAATGTGGACATGTTTCTCAAATTCACACAAACATCATATGTTCTGTCAAGATTTATATGCATTACTCATTAACAATACACACAAATGTGCTATTGTACATTCATAAACCTAACTTCAATTATGAACAAATACATGAATAAACCCAATCATACGAGGCTGCAGATTGAGCTCAAATTTCCCCTTCCCCATCACACTTCCTCACTGTGGGTCAGACTGAAGCAAACAAGGGTCAAAGGTTCAACGAGTATGTGCTTGTGTGTGTAGCAGCCGCTAATCGCATCACTCATTCTGCCGGCCACATTACTGAGCACATTAATGAACCCCCGTCCCACACCAGCCTCGCACAACTAATGAGTCCACTCATTCGTTCATTTCCGACTGGTCCTGCTGAATGAACAGAAGACAAATGAATCCTGAACAATTCAGCGGCTGTCCTGGACTGAGTTGACATTAAACGGCCTTCTACAGATTCAATTCCTATTTTGCTTCTATTCATTGGGGAATAATACATTTGGGCCTATTGCAGTGCATAACATCCATCACTGAACAAATTCTAAGAATTAATACTGGATTAAAATGAGATTGCTTTTAAATCTTTAAATAGTTTTGCTTGATGCTAACCTTAAACCACAAACTATATGAACTGTAGTCATGTTTAAAGCAGACGGATATAGGCACCCGAGAATGTTTTATAAATTTCCACCCTGTAGCTTATAACCTCACAACAGTCGGGTCAGATCAAATCACTTCAGCGCAGACGACCTGGCTTGTTATTGGGGTGTAGCTCGAGTCTGAATCTCAGCAATTAGCCTATTAACCTGAGATGCTTCAGAGGATTGAGATATCAAGACGACAACCCATGTGACCTGACCCATCACCCTGTGAACAGCTGCAGAACCGGGTTAACACTTGAGCTGGTGAACATGTAACCTACACGCCACTGGTGGAGCACTGGGAATGTAAGGGATTCAAGAGGAAGAAGACCAACGGACATTAGGAGTGACCACCGTGGAGCTTTACACCATGTTCTAACTAGCTGGAACACAAAGTGTCAATCGAAAAAATGTCCTCTCAAATGAAAACAAAAAGAAAAGTAAAACTAAACTTGCTGTCGGTGACAGTGCTTGCACTTTCAAATTTGAAAGTAAAAAGCTCATCCCCTTTTCAAAACATCAAATCACAAATAATAATAATGTAGTAAAAAAAAAAAAACATACAAAAATGATAACACCTGAAATGTAAAATAAAATGAAATAACAAAACAAAACAAAAAAAACAAAAAACAAAAAAAAAAGTAAAATAAAATAATTTTTGTAA